AACACCATGTCGTTTTTTCTTGGTTTCTTTTTTTTTTTTTTTTTGCTTGTTATTTGACTAAGGGAATGAGAGCAAAGAGTACCTGGATGCCGCGAACCTCCAGAAGTTTGAGTTCGAAAAGTTTTGAAAAGTTCGAACATCGCTAAGGTTCGACTTTGAAAAGTTCGCAACTTTAGAACCCCGCTGAGGTTCGAGTTCGAAGATTTTGAACTTTTTGAGAGATCGATCGAAGAATGCGAACATTTCGAAATTATTGAAGATTGAAGTTCGAAATATTCGAAGATTTCGATTTTTTTTAGATACAGGTTCGAAAGATTCGGAAGTCTCGATTGTAAGCTTGAAGTAGGAATTTCATGGACGGAAATCAAATTCCGCAGTTTCAAGCTAAGTTTTCATGAACTCATCTAAACAAAATCGGAAAATGTGCTACAAATTTTAAGGAAATATTGCCCATTTCTCTTATAGGGAGTTTTCACATGACGTCGATTCGCCATTTTGTTGTTAGTTTGTTTTTTCAAACAAATTTACTAATATGAAGGATTACATCGCAACCTGTTGAGATGTCAGCATGGTAGGAATTATCAACTTCTGTGCTTTACTGTAAGTCACACGCCAAACAGCTCACAACAACAAAATGGAGGACAAAATTACGCCAGTGAAAACACTGTATACCGTGAATATATCCTTCCTTCTCAGTGCCGTGGTTACTGGCTGCCTGTATTACTCGTTATTCGTCGTAACTTACGAAACAAGACTTGAACTGCTTGAACGGTTCATCGAAAAGCCCTGAGGTGGTCAAGTGAACGCACTTTTTACCGTTATTTGCAAAATATACTCGCGTTCACCCCAAGGAAAAAAAAAAAAAAAAAGTTTTGCGCACTGTTCATACGCCGTGCGAAGTAGTTCTTTGCAAGATTGGGCTGTCAGAGGAAGGAGGGGTGCTTTTTCCGTTTGAAACGTGTACTTCTCGATAAGATAACATATATCTAATCGGAAATGCGCTCACATTTATCTCAATTCTCTACATATAAGGGGAAATTAGTAATGCTCCAAGACGAGCCAGATATGGTAGTTGTCTACTCGAAAATCAAGTCGAGAAAGTGTGTATTTTGTTTGTATGTTCTATATTTAAGCCTCAATCTCGGAAAAAGCCGTCTTCGTTTTGCAAGACCTAAGTCACACATAGCGACCCGTGCGTTTCTATGAATTGTGAAAAACGTTTTCTTGAATTTTTGTTTGCGTTTTGTAATCAATTATAAACGTATTTCGTGGTATTGAATAGTTATTTACGTTTTGATAAGAGCGGGAAATCACGGGAACATATCTAACCAAATTAGCAGGCCTAGTATACCTTCAATGTCCAAGAGGCGCAGACGTTTTATTGTTTCGATTCATAAACCTTTCACTGTAAACTAGCATGACTAGTTATTAGCTGTCATATTTATAAGACAGAAAGTCACCGCATCATTGATACATTATATACAATTCTGTCCGAAACCAAACGCTAGGGTTTGTTCACCGCACATCGCACAGATCACCAGGGAATATCCTTTCACTTCCGTAATACACAAAAGTGATGACACAGAAACGATGCGAAACACGAGGAGAAACTGTCACGGAGAGGTTAGGGAATAAAAATAAATAAATAAGAATAAAATTACCCAATCCCCGTCATAAAACGAAAATTGCGTTAAAAAATGAAAAAGATTTAAGTTCGAGCGGTGGCAAGGCGATAGGTCCACGCCTGGTGGAGGGTCAGACAAAGAAGTCGACGACACTTAAAGGTAAGACGAGGAAACAAAGATTTAATAAAGACGAAAAACCTCAGCTGCACATGGCAAGAACAAAAACCAACTCCTCCGGGCATTTCCTAAACGGGACACAACCGAATGCGTGCGAACACGTTCTCTACAGCACCGTCAGGCCGCTACGCCATGACGAAATAAACCCATCTAAACAATGCTAACAAACAGGAATAAAACATAAAAAAAAAGTTCAGCAAAATTGCTCCCGTGAAACAAAGTTCAGCGGGTGCGAAAAAACACACACGAAATAAAAAAAAAAAAAAAAAAAAAAAGAAAAGAAAAAGAAAAGTATTAACTGACCGATGCCGAGTCCAGTCGCACGACACTGAAGCCTGGCAGGATTGCGGTGTCCAGATGATGCTCAAATCTGTTCTTCACTCTATTACGCACATCCACGACGGCTGTGCGGAACAGTAGCTGTGCCGCCTGTGCGGAACAACGTGAAGAAGAATAGATTCGAGCAGCGATGCGCGAGAAGGTAACCGAGACGTAACATGCCTCGAGCCTCATATCGGGAGAGGAGCTTTCGAGGTAGTTACTGCAGTTACTCAAACTTTCTCTTTTCCCTTCCCTTTTTCGAAAGAACACGTCAGCCTGCGCTAACAATAATAATAATAATAATAATAATAATAATAATATTTATTTGCACAAACGAGTGTTTTCCTGGGGGCGTGCGAGGCGAAACAGAAACTTTTCATCTCAGAAGAAGACCACTCTTCACAAACGGTTATAGTTGACAAGGAGGCTGACTTCGACCCAACTAGTCTCCGGGCAGAATAAACACAAGTATATTTACCAACACGCTCGTTCTAAAGGTCCGTTCACACTCTTGCAACCGAGTACGACTGAGAGAGACCAAACCGGTTTTTAAGCCCCTTGCGATCTCTTAGGACCAGCTCCGCTCAGCGCATCCGGTCCCAAGAAGTCTTTCTCGGTCGTACTCGGTTGCAAGAGTGTGAACGCGCCTTTAATGTCAGTCTCCGGGCTTTGCTGTTTCCTCCGATCCGATAGCACCCTTCGGTGCTATCGGATCTCCGCGGAGAGAGATGTTCGCCGCGTCAACGACACATTCGTACCATTTCACTCCTCGTAACAGCCCATGGTGCGCTGCTCGCTTTGCTGTCACGGGCCCTCCTATCTAACACAACGAGCGCGAAAGTTCGTGGTCATCTGCTGGTTCCGAAAGGGCGGGACGTTCATGCAGACCAATGAGGGCCCCGAATCAATAATACGTCTGCCGATTTCTATATATTAAATATTTACGATGCCTGCTGGTCTGTTTAGAAGTGATGCTTTCCCTTTTGAACTCCTCCAATGTAGCTTGCCGCCTATAATAAAATTTAAATAATCAATAAATAGAACAGGGTGGAAGTACTGTATTTCATTTTTATGTGGGAACGTTGAAAAAGGGCAAAAAATAATTTACCGTTTGTGAAGGCGCGCAATTCGCAAGTTTATTTCGAGTCGTAAAAACACGTTTTTGTACGATATTGACGCTTAAATGTAGAACATACAAACAAAATACACACTTTCTCGACTTGCTTTTCGTGTAGACAACTATCATATCTACATTTTAACAAAAAATAAAAGAAAAAATAAAAAGTGTTTTTTTTTTTAAGAAAATCGATTTCAAAAATGGTACTTTGTGTTTTTCGCATAATACTAACGTAAACGTCCTGCAAAGGATATTTTATACAGCCGAGTCATATTATAATATGTATAAAGAGAGTGTTTTAGGCTCTCCGTGGACATAAAAAAAATATTAAGGGGTTCTTTTCGGATCGTTTATTGGTTCTTCCTATAGTCGGATGCAACCTAAGAACAATCTTTTAGCTCCGCCCACAAGCGCATTGCGCCCATGTGAAGTGCCTCCGCCGTCGAGAAAGTAGTTCGCTAGCAACGTTGCTTTTTCTTCCTCCAGGAAACGTGTCTTAAACTACTACAATATTTATTTAATTCATGCAGGACATTTAAATAAGTTAGAATACGTTTTTGCTAACGAAATAGCTGTTTAGTAAAGAAAGAAAGTCATGTCCAATGTACCGTCTTCCCAATTCATTTTCTGTCCAAGATACTGTCTAACATACCGTCTAACATACCTCTCAGCAGTGCTAAGCCTCGCGCCCGCTTCGAAATTTTCGTTGGCGATAGCGTCGCTGGATTCTCACGTTGTCGCGCAAAAACTGCTGCAAACGCAAGCCGATACCATTAAGATTTCGTGGCGTAACCTAGGGCACGTAAAACACGGTGCAAAAAAGCAGAATACTTGTCACGAGAAACTAGCGTCGCGTTGCTAAGGCCAGCAGCCATGTTAAGCTTTTTTTTTTTTTTTTTTTTTTTTTTTCAAAAGGATCGCGATTGGTTCACGGAATCGTGACATCATGAAAACGATTGGCTGGCGTTTCTCGGCGTAGGATTACATTTTCCTCTGAGAGGCATTTCCGGTTTTTTCTTAGCTTGCAACCGACTATAATGAACCCTATTTTTGGTTCTTTTCAGAACGCTCCTGGGTTCTATTTAGCGAACCCTATTTCGGGGTTCTTCTAGGATCCTGCCAAAGCTACAAGCGCGAGCTCCGGGCTTTCAGCATCCTTGCCAAGCACGCGCGCTCGTGCAGTACAAGCACTGTTCTGGGCCACATGCTCGCGCTTGTAGCATCGGCTGCGTCTGGACCGAAGCTGAAACGAAGTTAATCAACCCTATTTCGGGTTCTTTCCCGAACCCTTTTTGGTGCTCTTGATGAACCCCATTTCGGGTTCTTTCCAGAACCTTTTTAATGAACCCTATTTCGGGTTCTCTCTAGAACCGTTTTCGGTGCTCTTAATAAACCCTATTTGAGGGTTCTTTTCGTATCGTTTATTGGTTCTTCTTAATGAACCCTATTTGGGTTCTTTCCAGAACCCTTCTTCGTGCTCTTAATGAACCTTATTTCAAGGTTCTTTACGGATTCTTCTTCATTCCGGTACGTAATTAACTAGTTGACAGGCAGAAAAGTAAAGATCATGTGCATTCATATATTTTATTGGGATCGCAAAAATTGATGGTTCTGTTCACAGTAAAAAAAACTAACAAAATTTGAAACAGTTTTAAGACGAGACGGGTGTTACTGCCAGCAATGTGCACACAGCTTCTACTGTCGTTCTGATGCCGCTCACTGTCAGGACACCGTCCAAAAAGATGTCAAATTAATTTTCTTGGAGATGGATCAGTGGCATCAGTGTCCGGACTTCCTACAACAAGAAAGCAAGAATATAAACACATGTATTTTCCTCTGCATAATTATGCTGCGAGTTCCTCATTCGCGATGCTTTCAGACCAATTATAATTGTATAGGTTTCACTAAGCATTTTATTTCTCGTTTAGCCTTACGCTCTAAAACATACCCGCAGATCTGATTTCCTTTAAAACATTTAGTGGGTCAGTCGGTGCGATCTAGAGAGCGCGACCAGCGGATGACGAAGCCTGAAAAGAGGGCTTTGCTCGGAAACGTTTTCTGCACGGAGCACCTGAACTATCACGTGACTTAATATGATCCTCATTAAAAAATGAGCGCGCTCTGCTTCTCTCTCCTTTTGCTCCGGACGCTTTGTAGTCGATGGTCAAGACGACCATGTAGCAGGAAACGGCTCGTTACTTTCAGCCTCGTGTGTCAGCCCCCTTCGCTATAACACTGTGTAAAAGCGAAAAATGGCACGCAGCATCGAGTGTTCCCTTTCCAACCAAGAAGTAGTAAAGGAAGAAAATCGGAAATCGTTGAGTTACAATATATGTACAGTACACACGTGAAACAATGCCCAACGTGCCACCGCATTTTCTCTGCTCTTAAAAATGCCCGTGCGTCCACTTCCCCTGAGAATACTCGAGGGGCCGATCAATGCAATCTATACGAAGAAAACTCGGCCAATGGAGAAGCCGAAAATTGGTTTCGAGTTAAAAATAAAGTCTTTAACGTGGCACTGAGCATGAAGCCAGCACGTGGAACGTCATGCTCAGTGACATCTCTCGCTTCATTCATATGTCTAAACATGCTTTGGCCTTTTCATTCGCCGAGCTCTCTTCGTGAATTGGTGTGATTGGCTTCTCGAGTGTTCTGCGGGAAAGTAGATGCACAGGAATTTTAAGCATGTTTCAAGAAACGTTGGTTCCACCCATTATTAATCCTTCTTGCCCTATAGTCAGTAACAGGTTAAAAAAAAATCTACGAGCTGGAGAGGAGGAAGCGGACAGAATCTTGTAGGGGAGAGGACAAACCTTCTCTCCATTCCAAGAGTCCGTCGGCCTTCTTCTTTTAGATTTTTCTTAACCTGTCATTGACTTTAGTCGCTCATATTTCCTTTAAATTATTTTTAGAAAATAAAGCAAGGATTTGTTTTATATTACTAGCTCGTATATTGAAAATATAACCCTGACAAGCTTGCATTATCATCTTTGACAATGCACTATACTCGGAGGTGACTTGGGCAACTTTTTTTTTTTGGCAATGTAGTCGAAGTTAAAAACGCCCGCGCATCTTGAGCGCCAATCAAGGCTATGCACACGCACTCTTCACTTCAGAAACGCCACAGAAAGTTGTTTCCGAGTATAATTTAACTCTGTCTTCAACGAATGGCGCCGATAAGCGGTCATGAGTTCGTAATGAGGTAATAAGTTAACCCAGCATATTTATGGTGGACGAAGGTAAACCTCTGCGTCGTCGCAGTCTGGAACTTGTGATAGATTACAAAAACACCCACTAAAGTATACCTTCAAGCAGCTCTTCGAGGTTCAGAGTGGCGTTCTTTTTTTTCCTTTGAGGAACACCAGTGTAGAAGCTGTAAATGCCTCCATCTTGGTTCTCATGTCCTCCGGATGTCTTTGCCGAACGGCAGTTTAACTTCTTGTAGTAACTGAAACATAAACAACGAATGGAGAGTATTGCTGGTTTACAAAAGTACATTTATGCGCTATAGATTTGTACACACGGATTGTTTACACACACACACAAACACATACACACACACACACACATATATATATACAGGTTTTTGTTTAAAGCTTAACAGATTTGTTTTAAAAAAGCCGTGGAAGTTACACTTATGCCGCTTGTGGAGGTGAGTTATACGGACAGGGGGACATATTATAGGGAGCTAATCGTAACGATCAGTCGGCTAATTAATTAAATTTCATTAATTAACTTTTTAATTGACGAAAATAGACATATGGTTCCAATTAGAAACTTCCTCAGCGAGTTTGAGCGCGTGAGAAGCGTAGTATTGTACTAAAGTTACTACTCGTGGAGCAGGTATAAGGCTGGGGCTACATAAGAGACGGAAAAATAGCGCGGGCGCCTTACCGCAACCGCTAGCTTTGTACCTGCTCTACGAGTGGTAAATTTAGTGCACTACTACGCTTCTCACGCGCTCAAAGTCTTTCTGAAAATGACTGATTTAGTGGTTTTCGATGACGCTGAGCAAGTTTCTAATTGGAGCCATACGTATATTTTCATTAATTAAAAAGTTAATGAACGAATCTCAATTAATTAGCCGACTGATCGTTACAATTAGCCCCCTATAATATGTCCCCCTGGCCGTATAAGTCGCCTCCACGAGCGGCAAAAGTGTAACTTTCAGGGCTCTTTTTAAACAAATTTTTTAAGCTAAAAAAACAAACCATATATATATATATATATATATATTAACTAAATGACCACTTCCTGTGACTATAGTGGAGTAGGGCTGGGCGTCAAATAAAATAATTTCGATTTATGTTATCTTTTATATTGATTAGTTAATCAATTCATAGGTCGCGCTGATCTCCAGGCATGATATTGTATCTCTGAAAAGGCCTAGAACAACCGATTTTTTCTTTGACAAGGTTTTACTACGTCTTATAATGGGTACTACATAGCAACTTGTCATTGCCAAAAAAAGTTAGCAAGAACGTTGCCTACTTGCAAAGTGGCAGAGCTCTACCTCAGCCAGGCTGGGCCAATTATACAGGAGAGAATGTACTCTTAATTACGCGCAGTTTCAGGCCAGCTCCGAACTAAGTACAAGTGCACATGTATACATTAGAGCGAGGAATTTCGATAACTTATTTTTGCAAGATTGCAGCCTACATCACGGTGCTGAATGCAAGCGATGTTTGCTAGGAAAACAGGTGGTGTCATTGCCGATGAGTGTTTCTATTCAAAATGACTGAAACTACTTGTCCCAAAAGTTGGACGGCATTTAGAATGTATATGCTGCATATATGTCATGAAACATATTTCTTTAAATCTATTTACAATGCATATGCCGACGAAGTGCGCGTGTCATAATTTTATTTACCGTTTAATGTACTACTTACTTCAAGTAAGTTTAGAAAACTTGTATTTTACTTGAATTACATTCTCTGATCATGTACTTGCACTTAAAGTATTTTTCTGTGGTACTACCGACTTTAAGTACATTTCCAGAATTTGGTATCGGTGAATCTTTCAAGAACCACGCCCTCGCGTACTTGGATTTCCCAGTACTATGCACAACTTCTCAGCTCCAATGTACAGGGTGTCACAAATGAAAATTTACACGGTCTTGTTTACCGCAAAAATAAACTAGGCATCGCCGAACGCTCATTCTCCGCCCAAAGGTAGAGCTAGAGGTCACAACCAGATGCCAAAGTTTCAGCCGATCCGATTACTTAATCAAAAGTTATAACTGATTTTCTGAAAATTTCAATGGGAAAATGGAGCCCATTTTTGCTCGTTTTCGGTTTCTGGTGCCATAGAGCCCCATGTGTTCGAAAACTCCGTCGGCCACCATTTTCCCATTGAAATTTTCAGAAAATCATTTATAACTTTCGATTAAGTTATCGGATCGGGCTGAAACTTTGGCATCTGGTTGTGACCTCTAGCTCTACCTTTGGGCGGAGAATGAGCGTTCGGCGATGCCTAGTTTATTTTTGCGGTAAAAAAGACCGTGTAAATTTTCTTTTGTGACACCCTGTATATAAGTTCTAAAAAAAAAAAAAAAAAAAAAAAGTGTATTGTCATGTGAAAACGCGCTATCGTCTTTCGAGACGTCATCAATTATAAGTGCCTCATAAGATGATTCTGTTAAACAGTTGGTCAGCGAGAGTAAAACATGGATCTGCACAAGCCTTGCTCGGGGCTTGGTTTCCAAACGCCCTATCCACCCTATCACCCAAACCAAGCAATGGTTAGCCGCCAGCCTTTTTTTTTTTTTTTTAATGGCAGCACAAACAGTTGTTTATCGCTGTGACCTTGCACCAGGAAACAACTTCAAATCACGCCGCACAAAAAAAAGAAAATAGAGAAATGAAAAAATGAATACAGATAGCTGCCAAGACCGATAGAGAAAGGTGCTTACGAAAGCGCGTACTTGCACGATCGACGTTGCCTCTTTCCTTTCTCTGCCGTCTAAAATATTAATCATTTCCGCGTAGTGCGGTTCGAATTTATCGTGTGCAGCATATTTGAATGCAGATCGTACAGTATTCTCTAATAAAAAATAAAAAAAGTCTTCGTCAAAACAGGAGTGTACCTTGAATATTTTTTACCAAGATCTTAATTCGTTCATGTATTCATAAAAGTTATCATGTATTCAAACTTTTTACTATGAAAGCGCACCACGAAAAATCCACAAAGTACGCATATCAAAGAATAGGCATTTCGTCCGACCCCTACCTCACCTACCTCGAATACGGCAACTCAAAACGGTCATATGAACACGCGAAAAAAACAAGCTCGCATTTTTCTCGGAAACGACCACGTGCTCCAACATTGTGCCGCGCGCGCTCTCGAATCTTCGCGCCATATGGTTTCCAACGGACATCCGTACGTCCGCTAAAACTTCCACCGAAGACAAAATACGTCGTCGGGGATTCCGCGTGACGTGAACGACGCGAGCGAACGCTCCTTCGCTGCTTTCGCTTCGCGCAATACCTTCTTTTCGAAGTGGAAGCGCCGCGCGGCCTCCGATGGCTCATTAGTGAGCAGTCGCATCGCACCTTATATTTTGTTTTTCCCCTCGGCCGAACGACTGCACCTGCCTCATCGGCGTGCGCGTGTGGTTCTTTGTGTACGACATCGGTGCGGTCCGAAAAGAGAACCGAAACGGGCGACCCCTCACGCCACCACCACAAACGGCCATCGTCACCATCGTACGATGTCTGACGATATCGGCGGTGCGCTGCCGCTGCTGCTGCGGTCCGGTCAGGCTACATTATTCACCGCTTGGGGAACAACACC